GGTAGCTATTATCTATAACGAGGGCCTTCCTTTCCAGCACTGACATTCTGTACTTCCAACTGCAGCATGTAATTAAACTGCAAAGCATCTGGCTTCCCGAGCAGAAAGAATAAGCCTGGAGGAAGGAAAAAAAAGAGAGAAGGCTCCTTCTGGGTTGCCCATTTGTGCAGCAGCCCCATCAGCCAGTACAACAGGGAATGGAGCAAGATGCCAGCCCTTAATGACAGGGCTTGAGGAGCCTGTGGTTCCCTGTTAGCTCAGACCCTTGGGGGATGTTTGCCAGTGCAGACAGCTGAAGGGAAAATCAGGGCTGCTTTGTGGCTGCTGAAGTTCCATGTCCCCAAAGGGTCCATGGGTTGATGACTTTGTTCCTAGGGAGGTAGTGGAACTAGGAGATGGTCGAACCTTAAAGAGATGGGGTTCCCTAGTTTGGGCATGGTAGCTCATGCTTGTGATACCAGCATGGGGAGGGGTGTGGTAAGCAGGCTCAGGAAAGTAAGCTCCCATATGCTCCAGCAAAATCTGGGCTACCGAGTGAGGCCTTGTCTCACAAAAACAAAAGGAAGGGCTGAGGATATAGCCCAGTAGGTAGAGCACTTGCATAACACCCTGGGCCTGAGCCCCACCTTGGTATAAACCAAGCTTGGTGTTGCATGCCTGTAATTCTAGTCCTGGGGAACACAGGCAGGTGGATCAGAAGTTCAAGGTCATCTTCTTTCTGCTACTTGCCAAATTTGAGACCAGCTTGGGATATATGGCTCCCTGTGTCAGAACAATATAAAGGGTGGGACCTTTGGGAAATCATGGTGTACAGGACAGTGTCTGCCACAGACAGCTAGGCCAGAGAGGAGGGACAGAGAAACTTGGTAAGGACAAGCTGGTTAAAAATGATAGCTAGGGGAAGACAATGCCTGCTGGATACCCAGAGGAGAGACCAATGCCACAGGCTAGTGGAACACAGGAAGGCAAGCTTTGTTTGGATTCCCAAGCAGCTCAGCAATGCCAACCCTGGCTTAAGCCTGGGAAACCATTCCTGGTCTTGCATGGGCTCAGCGCTAAATCTGAATTAACGGGATGGCAGTCAGATGCTGGCCCAAGGAGGGATCAGGCATGTAGTGTCTCTCGTCACTTGCATCAGGACCTGTGAAGGCTGGAAGTGATTTTACTTTCAGTAGTTCAGGGAAAGTGCCTCTGAACTCTGAACATGAAGCAAGTATTTGGGGGTACAGGCACAGGGGTAGCTCTGGCTAAGCTTGTATTCAATCTTGTTAAGGAGGCTTGGCCGGGGGAAAAAAATGGATGATTCTTGCTTTTTGTCTGCCTGAAACATACCCACTGCCATGAGGAATTTTTCTTCTCCATTGTAACCAAAACAGTATGTTGCAATGTGACAACTTGCCAATGACACATGCTTGCTCTTCCAGAAACAAAGGACCAATGACAGTGCCTGGGTCAATGATAGTACCTTCCCCCCAAACTGTTTGGCTACAGGGATCCTTCTGCCTGTGACCTGATGGACATTAGGTAACCACCAAAGAACTAAGGAATCATAATGTACTGGCTGGTTGTGTGTGTCAACTTGACACAAGCTGGAGTTATCACAGAGGAAGGAGCCTCCCCTGAGGAAATGCCTCCATGAGTTCCAGCTGTAAGGCATTTTCTCAATTAGTGATCAAGCCGGGGAAGGTCCATTGTGGGTGATGCCATCCCTGGGCTGGTAGTTCTGGGTCCAGCAAGCTGAGCAAGCCAGGGGAAGCAATCCAGTAAGCAGCACCCTTCCATGGCCTCTGCGTCAGCTCCTGCCTCCAAATTCCTGCCCTGTGTGAGTTCCTGTCCTGACTTCCTTTGGTGATGAACAGCAATGTGGAAGTGTAAGCTGAATAAACCCTTTCCTCCCCAACTTGCTTCTTGGTCATGATGTTTTGTGCAGGAATAGAAACCTTGACTAAGACACATACCTTTCACATTGATGGAACTAGTCATATGATTTCTTCTGGCCAATTGGACAATTGAAAAGGTAAAGCAAGGGGCTGGTTAGAGAAATGTTTGTTTCTGGGCTGGGTCTGGTTGTCTTGGTACACTCACTACATGCTATTATTAATGTTTTTAAAGAATCCAGGTCCTATGCATACAGTACACATGGAGGCCAGAAATGGGTGACAGACTCTTTAGAATGGAAGTTACAGCTGGCTGGTAGTGGCTACATAGGTGCTGACACATGAACCTGGATCTTCTGCAAGAGCAGCCAGTGCTCTTAACCACTGAGCCATCTCTCCAGCCAAAATTCACTAGATGAATTTTTATAACGTGTCATTTGAAAAAGGACCCTATTTCTGAAAATGGTATAAAACTGCTGCTATCACAAGACAGCAATTGCTTAGTACTACAAGGGTTAGTTTCAAAGGAGATACACTATACGTTATTGTTCACAAGAAGGATCAGTGATTACCTGACGGGCCAAGTTTAGCCACAACCTATGTTTGCAAAGTTTTACAGCAACACAGATAGATTCACTCATGGATGTGTTATCTTCGGCTAATTTTGTGCCATGATGACAGAACCAACAATAGTTGCAACAGAGATCTTATGGTTTGCAATGGTTGAAATACACACTATGAAGGCCTTTATTTAAAAAATGGTTGCTACCTCCTACTCCATAGGAATTATAAAGAAGGGGGGAGAATGGGTTGAAAATATGGCTCAGTAGTCAAGAACATGTACTGCTTGAAATAGCAGGGCTAGACACTGAGGATCAACCACTGACAGTAACACTAAAGAGAGACATAACATGCTTGTGATAGTTAGCTTTAATGTTAACCTAGAATCATCTGGGAAAAAGAGTCTCAGAGAGAGAGAGAAAAAAAAAGAGCGAGAGCGAGAGCGAGAGAGAAAGAGAGAGAGAGAGAGAGACTACTTTGGACTGTCCTGTCTGGGGTTATCTTTACCAAGTTAACTGATATAGGAACAGCCTGCCCAGTGTTGGCAGCACCATTCCCTAGGCAAAGGATCCTGAACTGTTGAAGACGAAGAAACTAAGCTGAGCACAAGAAGGCAAGCAAGCAGGATGCAGACAACATCTCTCCACTGTTCACTGGGGATGTGATGTGACCAGCTGTCCCAAGCTCTTTCCATGATGACTTCCTAGTAGTAATGGACTGTAACTTGGAATTGCAAGCTAAAACAAACCCTTTCTCTCCTAAATTGTTTATTGTCAGGGCAAACAAACCCTTTCTCTCCTAAATTGTTTATTGTCAGGGCATTTTAATCAGAACAACAGAAATGAAACCAGGATGATGCCTTTGGGAAGACAACTAGACTTGCCAAAAGTTTAAACCTTCATCTGATTAGGCATCTAGATTCAACTATCAATGAACAGAAAATGGAAAACAAACCATTGGGAACGTGTTAAGCTACATCACAGATCTACAACATGCAATGTGGCTATTTCAAATAACAAACTGCAGAGGTGGACATCATTGCTCAACAATAAGTCCATGGGGACTTGAAAGACTAAGGCAGGAAGAGGACCATGAGTTTGGGGCTAGCCTGGGCTACAGAGTTCTTGAAAAAAAAAAAAAAAAAAGGACAATTTTCTTTATGTGAGTGCTCTTGAGTAGGAGCTAAGCCTGTGTGTTAGTGTCAGACCCAGGTTTAACTTAGGCTGCAGCTCTGAGACTTTGGAATTTCTTAAGGTCTCTGCACCTGAGTCTCAGGAGCTCTGTGAAGACAAATGGATTCCCTGCCTGGAGTGTTGAGCACTGTATCCCACTGGCAGGGCTCATTTGGGGGTCAATATTTGTTCTCACAGGGAGGCTCATCTGTGACATCCCTGGGCACTTCCCTGTCTGCATTAACTCTGCTCTCTTTCCCTTCTTTTTCGAGTCATTCATCCCGTTGCCCCACTGCTTGCCATATGCTAACCAGGCTAGGTAAGCCTGGGATGTCGCAGCCAACTAGTCCAGTAAGTTGTCCTGTTTCCTGACCATAGGGCTCCAGGCAAAGTGAATGGGAAACTGTTCTAAAGCTACTCTGAGAATCACAGCTCTCTGACGCCATCGCTAGCTCCGCAAAACAGAACCTGAGGTCTAGGAACACAGGAAGCTCGCCTAGTGCTGATGGGCAAACATGGCAGATTCCGAACCAAAGAGACCAAAGCAGAAATTCGAGCTGTACCAAGAAAAAAGAGACTGGTGCCGGCTAACTCGCGGAAGTTAGGGCATCTAAGGGAAGACATTTCGGAATACCAAACTCTGAACCCTCATCTTCTTGGACATAGGCTGCATCTGCCCTCTAGTGGCTGCTGGCTAGCACAGCAAGTACCAGCTTCAAGATGTTGAGCTTTGTTTCCAGACTTCTAAATGACACTGTGTTTCTCAGCCATGTTTGACCCGTAATTACCTTTCCATGAAATGTATCTTGTTTAGTGATAGTAATTTCTAAACATTTTTAGGTACCCTTCTGAAGTATTGTCATGTCATAATAGGTAGATAGGTCTTCTTTGTGAGCATGTAACTGAAACATAAGTCAAATTTGTTTATGTAAGAAGGGATACTCTGAGTCCCAGAGAGCGGGAAGGAAAGGGTGTGTGTGGATCCCTGAAGGTTGCTTCTGGACTGGATTCTGGCCTGGACTCTACAGACCTTCTACAGAGGATTGGAGCTGCACAGGGGCTGGGCCCACAGAAATCAAAATGCAGGGTATAGGTCCTGTGCAAAGCTCCACAGCTCTGCAGAGTTCCAATTCAGATATAAGCACACACCCTGCAGCCCAGGGACGGGGGCAGGACAGGTAGGTCCTCTTTAGAACCTAAGGTTGTCTTGTTCCCAGAAAGGAAGGGAGGTGGCAGAGTTCTGTCCATTTGTCTGCCTTACACAGGACACCTTGCCTTCCAGACCCATCTACCATTTCTACCTAAAGCTCGGACAGTTTGCATAGTTCAAACCAGCATATTTCCTGGAGAGGGGTGATGTCACAGAACCAGGGTTCCAGAAGGCTGGGGTGGCCAAGGACACATGCCTTCTTGAGAGGAATGAGAAATATTAGCCAGATGGGGCCAGAGAGTGCTTGGTAAGGAAGAGGAGGCTCCGGCCACAGACTGCTTTGTGATATACAGGATTTGTGTCCTGTAGATCCACCCAGAAGGCCCTGAGCTGGCTGGGAGCTAGGATCAGAGAGGTAGGCTTAGAAGCTGGATAGAGTCACATGCTGGGACCACTGTCCCCCAAAGGGAATCCCTGAGGGGCTCAATGGGCCAAGCCAGACCTTCCTGCATCCGAAGGCTCTGAGAAGCCTATGTCTGTGGGACATTCTGAATCAGAATGAGGAGGGCTGCATGACACATCTGTGAATTAAACAGCTATTTGCTATTTACTCGAGAGTCTAATTCAACAGGGCTTCATCTGTTCTGTTTGCAACGCCAGAGTGGGGTAGAGGGAGCATCCAGGGAACGTCCTAAGTGCACTCTGTGAGGCAAAGATAAACTGAGAGATCAGAAGGCAGGCAAAGCTACCAGAGAGGCTACCTCATCCCTACATATGACGAAGGGACAGTGGTGGGATCCTGGCCTTTGTCCTCAGCATCACACACCTAGTTTAAAGAGAAAGACACACATCCTATGGCAGGACCAGCCCATGTGTGCTCTCACAGAATGAGCATTTCGAAGGACGGAACCCAGTTATTTTTATAGATGTTCTCTTCTGTTTAGGTTCATTTCTTTACGATTGGACCCAGGCTTCCCATCCTTGGCCAGAACACCTCATCAGAGCTTATGTATCTTGAAGTTTCACATCTAGAGGTGCAGAGTGTCCCTCTGTCCCTCACTGACAATGTTAATTTTAATTGCAAGGTCAAAACACTGGCTTTTGCTAAGCAATAGGGGGATGACCAAGACCATGTATACAAGCCCTGATACTTTCCCAACCTCTACCAACTCAGACCAGCGCCTACGATAGTCATTATTCAAACCAATCATTGTGCCCAGGGCGTGTTCCTACTGTAGCCTGGAAATATGCCACATTTATGAGTCCTGGTTCCATTCTGTAAGAAATATGAAACCACGTCTTGATGTTTCTTATTTATTTTAATCATTACACCGTTCTGATTGGGCAGGTGTTAGTAAATAAATCTTCATCTCACACATGGAGTCCAGAGAAGGAAGTTGTTCAGGGTCATACAGCAGCCCAGCCTTTGATAGCTGGTGGTGGGTAGGAATTCAGAGTCCTTGATCTTCAAACACACACACACACACACACACACACACACACACACACACAGAGAGAGAGAGAGAGAGAGAGAGATGCATGCACGTTCACACAAAGTGTAGATTATTTGTATAATAAAATCATATTGACTTACTTCCTGATAGGCACATATACAGAAACAAAACAGAAAACAGACAAGTAGCCCACCAGGAATGGCACGAGGCAGAGGTTGCAGTGGTGAAGGTCATACGTCATGTGTCTGGGGGTATGGGTCGGGGGATATTGGCACCCAGTGTCCCTGTCCTTCTTCTGAAGGTACATGCTCAAATACATACCACAAATGCTGGTAAAAATAAAATCTGCTCTAACCTTTACCAACCTCACTCCCCATCCTGGTACTCAAATGCTGCTTACACCTAAGTACCCATTAGAGGAGGACCAGCTGCTAAAGCCAGAGTGGTCTTGATTTTGAACTGTTGAATCTGGGCAATGGGTATATGGAGGATCAGATTACTCTCTATCCTTTAGTGTTTAAATTTTTTGAGACAAAAAAATATGATATGAATATAAAAGAACAGGCTCTTGCCTATGATACCAAGGCTCTGGTAGTAGAGGCAGGAGGATTGCCGAAAGCTGGCTACATACTGAGTTCCAGGATAGGCTTGGGGTATACATGGAGGTTTGGGGGTAGGGAGCACTGAAACTCACCAGGCATTGAGCACTGAGTGAGAAGGGAAATTTGGTTTCTCTCTCAGATTCCCCGGGCTCTCAGAGACTGGCTGGTACCCTGTCTCCTTGGAAGATGATGAGGGCACTGTTTATCTGTGTTGCGAGCTGCCTTCTGGTAGTGAATGGTGGTGACATCATCCATCGCTGTACCTTGGCCAAGATTCTGTATGAGGAGGACTTGGACGGATTTGAGGGCTACTCCCTGGCTGACTGTGAGTGTCATCGCCTTGGTTCCTTCTCCATCCCTCCTTTGGATCTCTTGCCTGCTTTCCTTTCTTTGCCATTTGTCTTTTCCAAGTTGAGTTCAGAGAACCATCTTCCTGTAACAAGAAGCCTTTCCCAACATGTCACATCTCAACCAACAGCTGTTAACTGAGCACTTATTATGCACTACTGCTTTAGAGGTAAATCAAATTCTTTCCCTCAGAGTGCTTGCAGTCTAGGAGGGCAAGCACAGCAACAAGCACACTCATGGATACCCAGTGTTGGCTGGTGCTGACCTGTGCATGAAGAACATGGTGCAGGCTTGTAGTCCCCAGAGTCGAAGGCAAGAGGATCACTCTGAGGCCAACTGGGGCTCTATAGCAAGTTCTTGTCTCAAACAAACAAACGAGAAGCTTAAGGACCAGCAGACGGCTTAGCGGGTAAAAACCACCTGTCTTGTAAGCCTGGCCACTTGAGTTTGATCCTAAAAATGACTTTTTAAAAAAGTGGGAGCTGGAGAATTGCTCAGCAGTTATGAGCATGTTCTGCTTGTCCAGAGGCCCTGAGTCACATGCACATACACACAGACAAGCATACACATAGTTAAAAATAATTCCTTATGTGTCTATAATCCCAGCACTAATGGAGAAATGAGTGGCAGAGAGAGAGAGAGAGAGAGAGAGAGAGAGAGAGAGAGAGAGAGAGAGAGAGAGAGAGACTAGCTTGAAGCTCCCAGGTCACCTAGTGTAGAATACATTGCATAGCTGCGGAAACAAGAGAGGTTCTAAAAGAGAGAACTGACTTCTCTCTCTCTCTCTCTCTCTCTCTCTCTCTCCTTCACCCG